CCCTCCCCACCCTTGTCCAGCTCTGCTCGGCACTAGCAACCCAGGGTGGGGGGGGCCTTTCTGGGGGGATCCGGCTCCCCAGGGGCAGGTCTGGTGCTGCCCTGGAACGACCCCACCTTGGTCCCCGTTCTGAACGCAGCAGCGCCAGGCCCTTCCCTCTGGAGCCGCTCTGCCGCCGCGATCCTTATTTTCTTCTACTCTCTGTCCCACGCGCTGTACTGTTTCCCGTGGAGGGCGGGTGAGTCCTCCACCGGCTTGTCGCAGAGCAGGACCCTGAGTGACTGTTTTCGGTGACTCACCTGTCGTGTCTTCCTTCAGCACGCTGGGCTTGGGCCGGACCCGTGCCAGCACCGGGGCACAGATGCCCCTGCCCGGTCCTCCCACAGCTTCTCGGCCACCCGCAGGGGCAGCGTCGGCTGGTCCCACGCGTGCCTGAGCCTCGACCCCGGTGCATCGCCCCGATGATGCACGAGGCCCCGTCACCCCTGCGTACGATGGGACGGTCCCTGAGTGACTGAAGCCCCTCCTCCCGGGCGGCGTGGGTGGGGTCCACAGAAGCCGTGACAAGACGTGGGTCATGCGAGTCCGTGGGCCACCTCTCCACGCCAACACATGCCTGGTGCCGGGAACACGGGCCCTCCTCCCCCAGGGCAGCCCCAACATCCCGAGGCCAGGGTCCGGAGGGGGCTCTGGGCCCTCCTGCTCACGACTCCCACCGGGGGTGGCAGGGTCCCTGTCGGAAGCTGAGGACATCGAGGCCCCGTGGCCGTCAGGGTCGGGGCCCAAGCCCCTCGTGGGCTTCCCCTTCCAGAAGGAGCTCAGGCAAAGTCTCTGAGTCCCTGCTGGCACATGGCACCATGCCCGTGGCTCGGGCACACACACACCGGGCGTGGCTGCGGAGACTCCCCTGGTGGCAGTGGCAGCCAGGGGTCCCCTAGTTCCCTCTGTCTGCCCTGCGAGGTGCCCAGGGCAGGAAGCGGCCTGTGGGTCCGCAGGGCAGGAAGAGGAGACGGTACTGCCGGGAGCTCTCCGGGGATCTGAGGGCAAGCAGAACTGGCCGAGGGAGGTCCTCCCTGATGCGAACCTCCCAGCGATCCCCAGCCCGTGCCTCAGCCACCACGGGGGGCCGTGGCCAGATGGCGGAAACACGTGATCCGGCCCGCCGACTTGGAACGTCCAGGCCCGCAGGTGGCCATGGGGACGTGGGGGGAGCCCCAGGGGTGCTCAACCACCACCACTGTTATGTTGGCTTCGTTTGTGCCTTTCTTCTTGCTTTGGAAAGGAAAATGCCAGAAACAGTTCTGGTCAGGTCACAGTGTCTGCGAGCTGGGCTCTGAATGGAGGCTTGAACACACTCTGTTTGCGCCGGGAGAGCTCCCGGCCTGGTGGGCATGTCCAGTGGGCACCCGGGGGCCCTGCCCCTGCCTCAAGCTCGCCTGGTGCTCCCGGGCCGCACCCCGGCAGGTCTGTGGCCTCCCAGGTAATTCCACATCATTGGCCTGGCTGGGGCAAGGGGGACCCAGCCATCTCATGCTTTCTTCCCGCTGGGGCCGGGCGACGGTCAGGCTGGGCACCACGTTTGAGAACATCCCGTATGTGCTTTTCCCGAACTGGTCCCACGACCCCTTTCCCAAATCCCGCCAGATGTTTCCTGGGAGAGACCTCGTTGCTCACGTCAACAGAGGAGCACGTTTTCCCAGGCAGGCTGGCCGCAAGCACCAGCTCCGTGACCACTGGCGAGAGAACTCTCCATGGGACTGGGAAGAATATATTTTGGGTCTGTGTGTGGGTGAGCTGTGCCCAGAAATAGACCCGGGTCTGGAAGGGGAAAGACAGGCTCTGCCGTGCGCGGGCTCCCGACAGTCATTTCTCCCTGCTCCAGGCGCCCCATGAGATTGTCCCCACGTGCATGAGCCATCTGGGCCGGGGGCGCTGCTGCCTCTCAGGTTCTGTTGTCCTCCGGGTCTTCCCCGAGCTGGGGAGGCGGCCTCGAGCTTGTTGGACAAGGGTGAACGCACACGTAAGCCAGTGTGGCCTCGGCTGCCTGCTGGCCACGGAGAGATGGTCCAGAGCAGAAGCAGTAACCATTCACTGTATGGACCCTTCCCGCCAGCTGGGGGGCCGGGCCAGAATGCTAAGAACCCCAGGCTGCCTCTGACTGTGAAGCAAACTTTACGCTGCAGAGATTTGCAGATGAGGAAATGGGCTCAGAGAGGTCACGCCACTTGCCAGAGGCACACAGGGATGGAGCCAGATGCCAACTCAGGCCCCCGATCTCACGGGCTTATCTGGTGCCTGCTGGACTGGCCCCCCGAGGACAGCAGGAGGATCTGGGCTGCCCCCTCCCACGGCCCCCGGGCTGGGTCCTCCAGCTCTCGCTGACATAGGTCTGTTCACAAGCCTGTGCACTCTGTGCCCCGCCCTGGGCCATGCCAGGACTTCAGGCTCTTCCCAGGCTGTCCCGCACAGACCCACTTCTGAGCGCTCGCTCCTCGGGTCTCCGCACTCAGCACCCTGGTCCTGGCTGGTTCCTCAGAGGCAGCTCCAGGCCCCAGCTCCTGGGCCCGTGCTTCCTGGAAACGCCTCTCACTGTGTAGACAGGCTCCCTGCACAAAGCCCCGTGGGGCTCTCAGTGGCATATTCAGGGCCAGCACAGTCAGCGGGAAGCCATGTCTACCTGGCACCTGCAGACGTGCCCTTATTTGGAAGAAGCGTCCTTGCAGGTGTAAGTCAAGGATCTCTGGGCTGAGGAGGGCTCTCGGTGCACTAACAGGTGTCCTTAGCAGAGAAAGCAGAGAGAGATTGGAAACAGACCCACGGGAGAGGCCACATGGTAGCAGAGGTGGCCGGAGGGGTGTGGTCACAACCCAGGATACTCGGAGCCCCCAGCAGCAGGAAGATCCTCCAGAGGGAACGTGACCCCAAGGACACCTCGGTTTAGGACTTCCGGCTCCAGAGCCATGAAGGAATGAGTCTGCATTGTCTTAAGCCCGGTGGTCACTTGTTAGAGCCGAACTAGGACACGGAACCAGGACAGTCGTCTGATGAGCTGGCGGAGTGTGTCTCGGCGTCCTCGCTCTAGAACGAGGACAGCAGTAGGGCCCATTCCATAGGCTTGTGGTGAGGACTGAATGAGCAAACACACAGCAGGGCACGGAGGGGGACTGATGCGTCACAAGCTCCCATGGGTCTTGGCCTCCTCACCATCCCGGTTCCCGTGTGTGGCTTTCGTCCAGGTGTGGTGCACGTGCACCGTGCGGACAGACACGTGTGGGGCACACGCATGTGCTGCTGCGGGCAGTGGGGCTGGGGAGCGGAGGCCCTGAGCAGGACTGGGCCCAGGACAGGACAGCTCCCCTGGGCCCCAGCGGTGGTCCCCTTCCCCAGGTGGGGTGCTGCTGGGGTCCGTCTGTCGCTCTGTCTGCGGGCCTGACCCAGGGTATTCTGCCCGCTGCCCAGCTGCCTGCCTTCTCCTGGACGGCTGCGAGCTTCATCGTCACGGGCTGATGGGTGAATGTGTTTGGCCCACAAGGAGGTTTTTCTTAAAATTCACCCTCAAGTGACACTGGTTCCATTGCTTTCCCCCCCAAAACCTGCAGTGAATCCACGGGCCATACCCATTCCCGGACAAGTGACGTGACTTGGGGTCTGGAAGCCAGAGGCAGGCCCTGAGTCAGCCGACCCCAGTGCCCAGGGCCGGGCCCGCGCTGGCGACACCCTCCCTCCCGTAGCTTGATTCCCTTCCCCCGGGACTCCCGGCCAGTCCCTTACACCTCAGGATGGTGGAAGGGAGAGCTGGGTGGGCCCTCCATCTGGGGCAGCCTGGGCTCTAAGCCGTGGGTCCCCTTGAGGAGTCTGCTGGACCGCGGGCCCCTCCGCCGTGGACGGCTCTGGCTCAGGGACAAGCCCTGTTTCTTCACTTTTTGTTGTGTTGGCACTAATGCCATGGGGCACCCAGTTATCTTGGGGTGCTTAGAAAGTCTGCTGATGCTACGTGCCTCGTATCCCCTCCCTGCTGCTGTGGGCGCCTCCAGACAGTCTCCCCTAAACACGAAATTCGGGGAACGGGGGACAGAGAAGAATGGAGAGTCATCGGGGGCTCGTGCCTGTGGCCCACAAGCAGGAGCGTGGCCGGCGTTCTCTGGAGTGCGGTCCCCACTCCCGCCAGTACAACGCGCTGCGGGCCCCGCACCGCCCAGACCTTGTGCAGGAAAAATCAAGCACGGTCACAGCTCCCGTGGAAGGTCCCCACGCAGTGACCTGATGGGCCCGTGCATCGTGGAAACGTTACCAGGATGAGGTCGCAAACACAGCTACCGGGCCTCAGAGCCGACTCCCATTCTTTTGTTGCGGAGGGCACGCGTGAGGTGACACGGCAGTGCCTGGGCGGGAGGCCTGGGTCCATCCGCGTCACGGCACATGGCTGCGTTTCGTCCTTTCCCGCGGCTGGAGGGTACCCCATGCTGCACACACACATCTTTCCCTGTTCTCCTGTCTATCCAGACCCGCTGGCCCGGGGAGTGTGGGAGCGACTCCTCCAAGCTCCCAGCAGTTCCGGGGGTGGGGGGTTCCTGGCTTGAACAGGCCCACCCTCGAGCCCCTGCCCCGGGCTGCCCAGGGACCCCAGGGGATGGCTGGGTGCCTGACCCCACAGAGGGAAGGTGTCCAGAGGGGGTCACCTTCACTTCCTCAGCCCTGCCTGGGGACAAGGGGCACCGAGTGCACCCACTGGGGACAAGGGCCCGGGCTCTCGGTTGTGAAAGGTCCTCTTTCGTGGACGTGCTGCTTTGAGCTCCTCAAAGCTCCTCGGGAGTTTTGGACCCTGGGACCCCCTCCGGGCCCTGCTGGCCCCTCACCACGCACAAGGGGGAGATTCTGGGAGCAGATCGAGGCGGTGCCCGGAGGGGTGACCGAGGGGCCGCTGACCTCTCAACCCGGCTCATGCCGATGTTTTCCTGCCTGGAGCTGTCCATGCTCACGGAGGCTTTCTCTCCCCCCAGACCAAGATTCACGGGGTCGGATTCATAAAGATCCACGCGCCCTGGAACGTGCTGTGCAGGGAGGCCGAGTTCCTGAAGCTGAAGATGCCCACAAAGAAGGTGGGTGCTGGGGCGCGGCCCCCCAGGTCCGCAGGTGCCCGCGAGAACCTCATCGGGCGGGGCTCTGCGGCGGGAAACCGAGCGACCTTCGGTGACACCCAGGGGGCGGGCAGTGGGCGCCCACGTCCTGATTTCCAAGCCTGGGGCGGGGTGTTCGGAGACCCCAGACCACACCCACCAAGAGCTGGCGCGGGAGGGGCGTCGGGGGCATCTGTTACAGACACAGACGTGCTGAGCCTTCCCGCTCGGTGTTTCCTCCCCGTGGTGTCGTGGCCGACCCACCAGCCCCCTCTAATCACGCTGCCCAGCCTGCAGGGACTTTCTTTTTCATCTCTGGACACCAAGGGCTGAGGCGTGTCCGACAGCGGGCTCCTGAGCTCAACGAGGCGGCCGTGTTCTCCTTCCTGTGCAGAAAGGAAAGCGGGGGGTGGGGGTGAAGCTGTTCTCGGGGGTCCGTCAGCCCCTGGCCTCCCAAATCCACTGAGACCCTATGGGCTACCTCTTTCTAGACAAAGCAGAGACCAGAGGCAGGTTTTCTGGGATGTGTTGTGATTGTACTTTGCGGGGACAGTCTTCAAAGTCAGAGCTTGGAGGGTTTATCTGGAAACCGGGTGCAGTGGGGGCTACTCTGCCTCCCCGAGTTCTGTTCCCAGGACATGCCATCTCAGTGGGGTTGGGGGGGGGACAGTCCTGTGACTGTCTGAGAATAGATTCCAAGGGTCACGGCCCACAGATGACGCGGACGCCCCCTCCCAATCCGGTCTGCAGCTCTACCACATTAACGAGCCCCGGGGCCTCCTGAAGAAGATCAGCTCCGTGCTCCAGAAAATCACGGACCCCATCCAGCCCAAGGTGGCCGAGCACAGACCCCAGACCACAAAGAGACTCTCCTACCCCTTCTCCCGGGAGAAGCAGCACCTGTAAGTGGGAATCTCCCCCCTCCCCCATCCCACCTATGTTGCCCCTTCCTGGGGGGCCCTGCTGTGTGGACCCCACAGCGTGGTACATGACAGGGGAGATGCAGGTTGTAGGACAGTCCCCTGAGGCCAGAGAAGCTCTCCGTCCTCCCAAAGCAGTGGGGTTTCAGCCCCTGAAGCACTTTCTCTGAACAGTTTATAGGTCTTGAGTACAGAAGAGATTCAAGGATGTTCTCCAAGATCACTGTTAACTAAGGAATGGAGGGGTGACGAGTCTTGTCCTCCTGTCGGGGGACATTCAGGAAAACACACGGGCTCAAGGGAGGGCGTGTATGCGGCTTGGCTCAAAGCCCCAAAGCAGGGACCTGGGCATCTCTCCGCTCCCCTACAGCCCCGTCCCTCTGGGGTCCATGTTCCTGTGAGAGGGTCTGGCTAACCAGGCCTCCCGAAGGGGCCAAGCTCTGGGAGGCAGGGACAAAGCCAGCCACAGCTGGAGGCTGGAGGCTCAGGGGACATGCTGCCAGCAGGGTTGCCTGGCAGGGCTGCACCTGTTCTGGAACCTTCCATCGTACCCTGCTCCCGAGGGGCAGTGGGGCATCGCCCTCTGGGTGGGTGGGGCCTCGATGCTTAGAGCTGGAGCGTGGGCAGTGGTGGGAACAGAGAGAACTTGGGCTCTAGGACCCACAGGGACGTGGATGACAAGCAGGGGCAGGGGGCTCTCCAGGATGCCACTGGTCTCATGGGACATGGAGAGCTGTTTCTCAGCTCAGAGCTGGGGCTTCAGCTCTGGCAAATGTGTGAGTCACGGGGAAGGGCCAAGCGGTGGCCTCCGCGGTTCTTTCTCCAACCTCCTGATCGTCCCTGGGATCCCAAATAAGACATTTGTAAAAAGTGGCCCCAAGCCCAGCTCCTTACACCGCCTGCAGGACGGGGGATCCCAGGGCGCCCTCCTTCTAGGACCCGCAGCGCCCCGGGCCCCCCTTGGCTCTGCCATGGCTGCCTCACTTGGAAACCCCTTGCCAGGCCCCGCTGAGCTCCAGGCTCTCTGGGGACAGAGTCCCCGTCCCTGGCTGTACCCTGAGTGCCTGGGGCAGTGGGCGACCTCTTCCAGAGGCTCCCCTCTGCCCTCGGGCAACCTTAGGAAATATGTGGGGGCCAAGACCTCAGGACTGACACTCTGGAGTACTGGGAGATTGTCTTCAGCATTGACAGCATCTGATGGTGGGACGGCCCCACTGTCTCATGGTGGGACGGCATGGTCCCCGCCGCTGGCAGTGTTGACACAGAGACTGAGGGCATTGTCAGAGGGAAGCAGATCCTTGGGTGGAGGTGTGGGTATCCAGGCCTCCCAGAGGGGCCTGGGGGAGTGACACGGACTGTTCCAGATGCCCAGGGTCGGGGCACACTGGCACACCTGCCCAGTGTCATGGTCATGGCTCACGGGGACTGTGTGCTTTCCCAGGGCCTTGGAAACCCGGAGAGCCGACTCCGGTGAACTGTGTGTCTTTTTCTTCTCGCTATTTCAACAGATTTGACCTGTCTGACAAGGATTCCTTTTTCGACAGCAAAACCCGGAGCACGATAGTAAGTACGGCCTGTGGGACTCGCTGGCTCCCCAGCAAGGCGGCCCCTGGGAGAAGCGGGTGATAATTTCATTTCAGCAAAGCTCCTCCAGGTGGAAGCCCGCTCTAATTGCCTGTGACAGCGATAATTAGAATCATAAAGCAGAGGGGGGCGGCTGGGGATGGGGGGAGCAGGGGAAGCCCCGCCCTTCCTGCTCCAGGTGGAGCCACAGGAAAGGGCAGGGGGACTCCAGACCCCCCAGCACCTGTCCCTGGCCTTCCTGTGCGGGGCCCTTAGCAGAGCTGGTGGGGCCCCAGAGACGTCGCAGGAGGGGTGGGGCGATGGAGGCAGATTTCTGGGGCTGGGCCAGAGGAGAGAATGAAGTTTGAAATCCGACCAGGCCGCCCTGCCCTCTTGAAGGTATTGGTTTAATGTTTATCCATCGGTCGCCAACTTGTCCACCGGCCAAGCTGGGCCATGCACGGCTCAGGACCCGGCTTTTCTCCGCACAAGAAATTAACGTGGCAGCCAAGCCTCCGGTGCTGCTGCTGCCGCCGCCCCCGCCCAAAAGCCCGGCCTGGGGGGCAGAGGTGCAGGACGGCCACTTGACCTTGAGCAGATGATGCCCCTCACGGCCACATCCCCAGGCCAGCAGGTGGCCCGACGAGGCTCGGTGCTGTGGGTTGCTTTGGTGAGTGGGGCTCGGGCCACTGCCAGGAAAACAGATCCGGGTCCCGTCTGCTGCTCTCTGTCCCCTCCCAGCCTCGTGACCTGGGGAGGCACGGAGCCTGCATCAGAATGAGAATGGTTCTGGCTTCCCGCTCAGAGCGCCGCGGTGCCCCTCCGTGCGGGGCGGCCTGGGCCACAGCGCGGTGGTTTACCTGACCCGTGTTACTAATTAATCTTAGCAATTAAATCTCATCGTAGTAAATAAGAAGGAACTTGTTGATGGGAAGACATCAGCCAGCTGGAGCGTCTCGGGGCTGACAGGTGTCCTGGGGGTGGGGAACAGCTCCCCCGGAGATCGACCCCTTGGGAGAAGCAGCCACTTTGACTTTTTTTGCATCTTTAGGAAATAGAGGATTGGCAGAATGACCGGCTGTGGAAACCGAGTCACGTGTGTGTTTCAACATGAATGTTGAAGTCACATGACCTGCGGCTGCCCAGATGCTCCCCAGAAGCATGGGGCAGGGTGCAAATTCGTGAATTCACTCTTGCTTTTGGGGGAGGGGCGCGGAATAGGTGGATGGAAAGCTCCAGACCCCGTCTCACGGGGAGTCTGCTATGAAACAGAGCTCCGTCCGTGATCCCAAGGTGCAGAAAGTGGTTCTGTCAGTGACTGGTCACTGAAGGGTCTGGTTTACTCTGGGGGGCTCGGGGGCTCTCTCCCGGAGACCTCAAAGGCTGGTTTGTAAACCGGCCAAGGCTCCAGAGAAACTGACAGTTCGAAACTTTGTCCTTGGGTAGTCAGGCCCCATGGCCTTGGAGACCCGACAGTATCCGGCGCTGGGACGAGGTCATTCTAGGCAAAGGTATGGAGACTGATGGCCTCCCTGCCTCTTTCCCCGTGCTCCTGGCATCGGGGTCACCCAGCACGCTAGTGGGTAGGCGTCAGGATCAGCAGGAAGGGCTGATCGCATTGGTCTTGGGACACAGACCTTCAGGCTGCAGGTGCCAGGGAGCCATAGACGGTTGCAGAGCGAGGTTGAGGATGTGGTCAGATCTGTTGGAGCAAGGTGAGGGCCAGTGGCCAGCTGTGGGAGGGCAGGTGGAGGCAGGTGCAGGCTTAGAGGTGCTCATGAATGAGGCCGTGACCCACTGAATGGGAGGCGGTAATTCCAGGAGAGTCAGCGAGGTCAGGACGGGGCCCCCAGTTGGATGCGGGGGTGCCGGGGATATGGCCTGAGTGGATCACTAACGTGTCATCGGCAGTTACTGGTGGGAGGGAGCGGGAGGGAGTGCTCCGGGACAAGAGCAGTGGGAGGCAGAGCGGGGGTGGCCACGGCCCTGCAGCCTCGTAGATCTTGGGGACCAAGTGCTTCTCGCAGAAAGACGTCAAGGGGGGAGGCCCTGGTTCTCGGGAGAGGGTTTGGAGACGGAGCAGAGCGCTGGGAGGCCAGGTTGCTAGGCCCGGGCTAAGATGGACGGAGATGGAAGAGGGCGGGACAGGGCCGGGGGTGGCCGCTGGCAGCCGGTGGGTGAGCTGAGGGCTTGGAGGGAGGAGTGCCACTCTCACTGTCACGTCGGAGCCGGAGGGCCCGTCACGGTCACCCCATTTTGCAGGTAGGGAAACTAAGGCACGGGATGGTGAGGTAGTTGCCGGAGACCACACATCTGCATGTGGTGAAGCCAGGGCCAGAGGCAGGCAGACTCCCGAGCTGGGGCTCCCGAGGCCACCAAGTGAGATGTCTTGTTAGTCAAGGGGGCACGGGGCTGGGGTGGCGTGGGACCTTGCAGGGGGCTTCTGCCGCCTCCTGATGCAGGGCGGGATGGGCTCCCAGAACCTGCCCCCACCTCGGGTTTCTAGAACATCGAGGGCTACACCTGGGAGGGGTCCTATGAGCCGGGTGCCCGTGGCTTGGAATCCCACCTGCCTTCCCAGCCGGAAAGGAGAGTAGCCCGTCCCATGGGGCACCGGGGACAATTCTCAACCCCGAAAAGCAGGACGCCGTCAGTGCCTCACAGAGGGAAGGAAGGGAGAGACAGGAGTCCTCCCGTCCCAGCAACTCCTCCCTCAGAACGGCACACCCTCGGCGCTAGGGACACGCGTCTGTCGAAAGCCCAGCCGTCTGTCCTCAGAGGAGAGCAGGTGGCAGTCGCTGGTCATGCGCGACCACGTCCCTTTCCGGCCATCGTGGGACAGTTTCCACGTGCCACGGCTGCCTCGAGTAACCATCCGCCCCTCCTTCTTGTCTCCGCAACAGGTCTATGAGATCCTGAAGAGAACAACGTGTACCAAGGCCAAGTACAGCATGGGTGAGGACATTGCTAGGGCCTGAGCTCAGCACCCCTCCCAGCCCTAATCTCGCCTCCCATCATCAACGTGGGAGGCGGGCAGCTGGTTTGGGGGCTTTTAGAAGGTTTTGATTTAAGCCCGTGTAGCTGCGTCAGACGGGAGAGCTGCTCCGGCCCGTGGGGCCGTTGTACGGGGCGTCCTTCTCTCCGGCTTGTGGCACTTGCAGGGGCGCCCGAGCCCCTCCCTGCAGGGGTGGTAAATGTGGCTGCTGGAAGCTGTAGGGGTGACCAAGGCGCCAGCCCCCTCTTTGACCCTCACAGTCCAGGGGCACGTCGCTGGGGTTCTGGCGGGGGGGCGATGGCCCAAAGCGGTGCCCGTGCCGGACGTGCTCCCAGCTTGGAGTGGAAGGCTCCCCACTGGGGACCCGCACAGCTCCACACCAGGCCTTGCTGGGAGGCCCGTCCTCGACACACAGCCCGAATCCAGAACCTGGCACAGATCCATCTGGCCAGGCACCTTCTGGAGCACCCCCAAGCCACAGGTGCAGAACTTTCCTGCCCGAAGTGCATCCCATTGACCCCACCCCCACCCCAGCAGGGGTCCCTTGCCGGCCACTATGGGCTGAGGTCGCCAAAACCAAACACTTCAGAGCAAAGGAAAACCTTTGCCAGGGTTCCTCCTTTGTAAGCTCGTGCATGCCCGCTGAGAGCTGTGCGTCACGCACGCCCTCTGGGGCCACAGGCCCGCGCTGGTGGGCAGGGGTCTGTGAGTCCGGGAGAGACTCCCTGCTCACTTGGCTTCCTGCAGAGGGGACAATGCCTGCCAGGACGTAAGTGGGGAGAGCAGTGTGGGGGCGCACCGGGGGCCGGGCCCAGGACACAGGGAGGAGACGACAGACCCTCAGGGTCAGGTGGGCTGCAGATGTCCTAGCCAGTATGGCCGATGGCCAGTCACAGGGACTCCTTCCAGACCTGCAATCTCTGAGCCTGTATCCTAGGTCAGTGGGAATGGGGGGCTCCCATCCAGGGGTCAGGAGGAGCCTGAGGAAAGTGTCCGTCGTAGGCCCAGCCCAACTTAGAAGCAGCGAGAGTGTCTGGAGTGGCCCCGGTCACCTGGGGTGGGAGGAAGTGTGGCTTCTGTCCTAGACCTAAGTGCTCCTGTAGGTCCCTGTAGGGTCCCCTCCAGAGCAAACCCACATGGTTGCACCAAAGGTTTGCTAAGAGCCCAGGGTCTGGGAACTTCCCAGCTATAGTTGATCCCTGCTCTGGGTCATCTCCGTTGGCCCGCATCTTGAGTGCTCCCCGTCGTTCTCTGGTGGACCTGGTAACGGGCCAATAGATCGGGGTCCTTGTCGGTACTCCCATTCCACCTCGCTGCCTCCTCTGAAAGCCCTACTCACCTCCAGATTCACTCATTCAACTTGCAGAAAGTACTGATGGGTTCTGTCCCCCTTAGGGGACTTAAGTTCTGGGGGAGGAAATAGATAATAATCAGAAAAGCCAGAACATCATCTTATAAGGGCTGGGAAGGCTGCCGCAGAGATTTAAGAACAATGATTAGAAAAGGCCTTTCCGAGGAGGAGATGCAGATGCTTGAGCAGAGATCCGAAGAAAATGAGGGATCCAGACCTGTTCAAAGGCCCTGTGGCATTCCTGTGTTGAGTGTTCTAGAACAGTGGGGAGGCAGTGAACCTGGATCAGACCCACGTCCGCTTTTTTTTTTTTTTTAAAGATTTTATTTATTTATTTGAAACAGAGAGAGATCACAAGTAGGCAGAGAGGCAGGCAGAGAGAGAGAGAGAGAGAGAGAGAGAGAGGGAAGCAGGCTCCCCGCTGAGCAGAGAGCCCGATGCGGGCCTCGATCCCAGGACCCTGAGATCATGACCTGAGCCGAAGGCAGAGGCTTAACCCACTGAGCCACCCAGGCGCCCCCACGTCCGCTTTTATCACAGATGAATTTTCACACATGTGGGCTTTAGCGGGATGCTCCCACCTGCCTCTGGCTTAGATTTCAAAGCATCCCTCAGGCCCCCTGATCATTCCAGATCACTGACAGAGGAGATGGTCTGTTTTTAGGTGGGCCTCAGGAAGACACTTCCCCCCATTTCCCAGCGGCGTCGTAAAGGGTGGGCCAGCTAGGCCACTGAGACCGCTGCCCCACTCACCGCCTCTCTGACCAGGCCGGGGGTTCCGTGACCAGCAAAGGGCTCCTGGAGACTCTGGGGCAGCACTGGCCCCCAAGGGTGTGCGTGAGATCAGGATTCCCGGAGCCCCCCTCTCTCCCATCTCCACGCGTGGCCGGCTCGGCCCTCCCTCCACAGCACGGCCTCCTGGGGCCGGGTGCTGAAGGCTCGCCTCCGGGTTCTGGGAGGCTCAGGTGTGGTGACTTGCCCAACGCATCCAGGGCAGGGTCTGGCCGCCGTCAAGGCCTCGGCCACCGCCTCGCCTCCCCCAGGCGTGTGGACTGCCGTGAGCGAATGCTTTCTCCCCCGAATGCAGCTTTGGTCCCCTGAGACATTTTCGTGTAACTAATAGCCCGATGTACAAACAGGGCAAGGAGAGGGAAGAAAGAAGGACTCTGCCCTTTTAAATAAAAGGCGAAAATGTAGTAAATATGGTAAGTGCCGCCCCGCTGCGGGGCCTGCAGGCCCCCCCCCCTTTTGGCTTTTCCAATCAACCTGAAATCTAATTCCAAATTGTATGTGTGTTTTCTGACACCATCAATTTCCCCCCGTATTTCCCTCGTGATTCAGCTTCTCTAACCCCTGGAAATCCACCTTCTTTCCTCTGCAGGCTCGCCTCGAGCAGGTGTGGGTAGTTGGAAAACCGCAGGCTTCGGGTGCCTCCCTCCTCCCAGGCGTGACTGTCTCTTGGGGTTTCCTCTGTGTCCTCCTGCCGATAGAGCATGTTTTACCGTCTCCTGGTGGAACCCGGGGAGGAGACGCCAGAGCAGTGGCCTGGCCCTCTGTGCCCCAGTGCAGCGGGCTTCGCGAAAATTCTCAGCACCTGACACGGTCCTGGGACTGCTCTGTTTGCAGGGAGAGCAGCGGGAGACGTACCTGGTCCGTAATTCTCTCTCTGCCTTTGTTTTTAAGGTATCACGAGCCTGCTGGCCAACGGCGTTTACTCGGCTGCCTACCCCCTGCACGACGTGAGTGACCTTGACATTGGGTTCGCGCCTGCGTCGTTGGACGCCCCAAATCCCCGCGGGCTCTAATTATCCTGCGGTCTCGGTCTCGGCTTCCTGCTTTGGTCCTCCTACAAATGTCAGCGGCTCGAAGGCCTTCCCGGCCAGGCGGGGGAGGGGGGGTGGAGCCTTTGCACCCCTGGCCTCCCTTCTTGAGGAGCGAGCCCCCCAAGGCAGGGACATTTGTGGCAGGAACCCTGTCCCGGTTCACCCAAGGGTGTGAACCTTGTGGCTGGCCTGTCCATGAAATGCCCCCCCTGCCTGGGTCTCCCCCGCCGCCCCGCCCCCGCTCTGGCAGAGGGACCGGGACTCTGCATGTATCCATTTCTGCAGAGCAAGTAGCCAGCTTCCTGAGCTGGATCTCCAAATCCCTCTGGTATCCCCCGACAAATATAGCCTGTGGCCACGGCCACGTGCTAGCTCAGTTGGGGTGGAGAGGGATGAGTCTCCTCTTGTTGTCGCTATGGAAACGGGGGCTAGGGGTCAGAGGGGCACGGGAATGTGCTGTGGGGCCCAAGCAGTGTGGGAACCCCGGCCTGGGGGCCTCTAGAACGTTCCAAAATGTGCTGCCCCAAGGACTAGGAGCCACAAAGCAGGAGAGAGCAGAGAGGGGTGGGGCTGGGCATCAGGGGACCCAGAGGCTCGTCTTGGCCACGCCCCTCCGCATCCGGGAGTAGAGGCAGCCCCTGTCCTCTCTGTGCCTTGTGTCCCCATCTGCGAGCGGGGAATGGTTCCCAGTGGGTGTCAGAGGGGGCAGGAGCGAGAGGGCTTCCAGTAAGACCCTGGATTGGAGGGACCTGATTGCCAGGACCGCAAAGGGCCATCCCTCCAGACCCCCGACTCTGACCTGCTCGTCCCCTATGGGGAGCTGGGCCCACAAACCGAGTGTCCCCACCTCTGTGCCTTCAGGAATGCTGTTCCTTCTGCCTGTGCGCACTTCCCCACAGTCACTGCCAGGCAGCTCCTCCCCCCGCAGGGCAGGCAAAGCCTCCACACAAAGCCCTCGTTTTCCCCCTCGCCCGGCCCTGCATCTGCCTCCCCCGCCATGATCCCTGCCCCACAGAAACACTCCTGTTTGGCCACCGTTCCTTGGGCATGTGTCTCACGAACGCTGTGACATTTGGCAAGTGCTCGACCAGTGCGGTATTGATGTGGGCGTGCGGAGTCAGCTGCCTCGGCCGGTGACCTGCTGTGTTTTCAAGGGCAGGGCTCCGACCCCGTGGGTCCCCGCCAGCGGTCCTGGCTGGAGGGGCCTCCGTCGCCCCCCATCACACTTCCACCAGTGGGTGCTCATCTGGCCCGCTGGCTCCCGAAATGCAGCTGTCCTCCAGCACCCCCAGCCCCGCTCACAAACTGCTGGGCCAGTGACCCCCACCCCGAGATGTCAGGGCCACTTGGCTTCTCTGAGCCTCAGCCTGGCCATGTGCGAAATGGGAGTGTGGGGTCACTGATTTCTGCGCGGTGACCAGAAAACTTCCTGCGCTTGGGAGTGAAAGGGAGGCCTGCCTGGTCGGGCCAGACTCCAGGGCCTCTGGGCAGGTGGAACACACGGTCCCCCCAGTGGAACAAGGCGGAGGCTCCCACCAGCCTTCCCTGAGCCGTGACCTGCTACTGTCTGGGGTCATCCTACCGTGCCCACAAGAGCCACCAGCGCTGACTGCGTTTGGAAGTGCTGGATTTGAACCCCTCACGACCACCGTTTGTACTGACGCTTTTCCTTTTCTCCCGAGCAGGGAGACTATGAAGGTGAAAACGTGGATTTCAACGACAGAAAAGTGAGTGGATGCGGAGCGGGCGGGGGCCGCGGGCTGGACGGGGCTACACGGCGACCCATGGGGCAACAACACTCCCACCGCACGTGTTGGGGGGACCGGGCGGAACCCCGGCCCACTGGAATGCGCCCCTCTCTCTGGGTCTGAGAGGTGCCCGGGCGGGTTGTGGGGAGCGTGTGAAGGCGATGGTGTGTTTCTCTACCGTGGCCTTCGTCGCCTGCCCCAAAGCCTGTATCTCCCCTGGGTGATCAACTTGCCCCTCACAGGCGTTTGGCCTAATCACACACGGCTCCCGGGCCGCCGGAGCCAGCCCCACAGAGAGCCACGGCCTCCTCTGCACACTGGGGAGAATTGTGGACGAGGTTCAGCCGAGTGTCTCTCAGCTTATCTGACCTGGGGCACTTTCTAATGGAAGCGGTACTGAGCCGGTGTTCCCTGGGTTATGCCTTTGGAGACACTGAGTGATCTGTTTGTTCAGTGCTCTCCCTGATCCTATGTGCCCAGGCTCCCTGTGTCCCCACCCCCACCACAGCCACTCCTTCTCTGTCCTCCCCACTCCGGAAAGTTCTTCCCTGCCGTCTTGCCGTCCCGCACACAAGCCAGTGCCTGGCTTCCAGGCTCCTCCCCGCGCCCGCCTTGCCGCCTCCCGCTTCCCAAACGAGCTGCAGACTTCCTTCAGCGTGGGGAACAGACCTCCGTGCCCATGTTTGCCCCTCAAGGGCAGATCCTTCGGAGGCGGCCGGTGGAGACGCTTCCCTGGGAAGCTCACAATGGTGGCCTTGTCCCAGATCTCAGGCTGGGAACCTCTGTGTATGGAATGTTCTCCGTTCCTGCCTCCCGCTGGCCCCCCATACGTGTTTTTAAGCCTTTGGTACTGGATACAACTTGCCCGCCCGGGAATCCAGCTGAAGATGCTATCTGATTTAGCTCAAAAAATGACATATTTGGTTATTTTTAGTGGAACATCTGGCATTCGTCTGAGACCCAGTGACTTGCAGAACCTCCCCCAATTCAATCCCGCTAGAGAAGCACCATCCCCTCCCCAGGCCTGCCTGGGCCAACTCTGGCCTCGGAGTCCGTCCTCCTTCATTCCTTTGTCCCCCTGCGCTGCATGTCTGGTGCCTTTCCTCCACCTACAGATGCTTCCTCCTTGGGCACAGTGACCTCATTTCAGGCCTAATTCAGTCCTCCTCGTCACAGGCCATTGTGGCCTCCTTCTCACCTGCCTCCCTAGGCACCAGCCACACTGGCTGCTTCACTAATCTGAGGCTACTCAGATCTCTGCCAAAATGATCTCATTCACTTACTCAGGAGCTACTTACTGGGCACCACTGGGCACCAGGTCCAGCAAACATGACTCTAGGTTTGTCCAGACCCACCTGTTCCCTCTGCCTGGAATGCTGCCCACCCTCTACTCCCCTCACCCCCACTGAATTTAATATCCCAGGTGTGAGTACCAGGCTGTCCCACAGGGGTAGTCCCAGGAGTATTGGATGGATGGATGGATGGATGGATGGATGGATGGTTGGATGATGGATGGATGGATGGAGAGAGGGATGGATGGAGAGAGGGATGGATGGATGGGTAGTTGGATGGATGGATAGGTGGATGATGGGGGGGGTCAGGTGGGTGGATAGATGGAAAGGAAGGAGAGAGAGAGGGAAAAATGTTACAAATAGGTGTTTGGGTCCTAACTCAGAGCCTTGGAGACCTCATTCTCCCATGCGGTTCCATATTAAGTGACCTGGTTGTGAGTATTTTGTCTTTCCAGTGACAAAATCTGTGGCTCCCCATTATTGGTCCCATCCGTGGCAGGGAAGCCCCCAGTGCCTGGCCCTGGATACCTCACAGGATGGAAAGCAGGGGCAGCCAAGCCAAGGCCCTTTTCCTGTGCTGAGCTGGAGGAGCACAAGTAGGAAGACTTAAGCAAAGAGTCAGGCCAGGGCCAAGGCTGAGCATGGTCAAAACAGTCCTGGACTCTCAGGGCCCTTGGGAGCGGGAGTGCTCCTTCGTGTGGGGACATGGAGTGGGGGAGTGACTCCAGGCATGGACTGAGCTGTCTCCATCCCCATGCTGGACTGAGAGCCACAGTACCCTGCCCTCCTTCCCCCTCTCCTTCCCTCTCCTTTCTTCCTTCCATAGGTACTTACTGGGACCCTGTTATCCTCCCCAGGCCTTGTACAGGGCTCTGGGGACCACGTGGACCAGAAACCTGGCCCTCATGGGCCTCCATTCTAGGGAGAGACAGCAAGGGGCAAGTCCGTACGCGGTAATGAAAGATAGTGTCGGTGCCATAATGGGTCTGCTCACCCGGGTGGGCCCACATGGGAGGTCTGGGCTCCCTCTGAGGTCCAGGGTCACTGTGACTGGAGCCACCAGCCCCCCATTGGCCCATCCCAGGGCCCTGACACCTCCCACCCTGTTTGCTAGCCTGGGGTGCACCCTCGGAGCTCTGCCAACCATAACAGGGAAATCTTGAGTTTGACTTCTCCGGTCTGCCAGCTGCGGGGGGATCGATGCTCCCTTCTTGTCAGGAAGAACGTTCCACTGAAGTAAAGTAATTGGGCAGAGACCCAGGGCATACCCCCAGCTGTCCCATGTACGCATGAACAGTGGCTGCCATGCCGCAGGCCAGTGTCCATGGGCAGGCCCGGGGATGTAGGGACCAGCGTGACGAGGCCATGCCTTTGAGAAGGGCCTCCCGTCCCCTCCATCCCTCCCTCCTCCCTCCTGCCCCCATCTCTTGGGCACCTCCCGGCCTGCATGGGGTCTACACCAGTGGCTTGATTTCATGGAGGGGAGGAAGCTGCCCAGGTCAGCGATGGCCGCTTTGCTTTTCCAGAGGTGGTCTGTGTGGTCATCTGAGTTTGCTGTTTGCAGAGTGACCCTGGGGCTTCTTGTCCATGTAACCAGGCCTGCCTAGACGTGGTGAGCCCCTGGGTTATGGCTTTCACGAGGCACAAGCCCCTGAGGTCCCCCTCTGACCCTGGAGGAAGGACAGTCTCTACCAGAATAATGGAAGCCACGGGCTCAGAGGGGAGGGTCTGCCCTGGATGCCCAGCAGGGCTGGGGGGGGGGCCTGACCGGACCCCTACCCAGGACCTGGGACTCAGACTCAGTGCCCAGGACGCCCACTGGAGGCCTAGCAGAGCCCACATCCCCACCCAGGAGTGGTGCCTTTAACTCCCACCTCTTTCTTCTGAGACAGAGGGGAGCTGCCCTGCACCCCACTCCCTCGGGAGGCTGCGGAGGCCCCTCCCAGCAGCTGGCCTTTCTGTTAGTCCTTCAGAACACAGACCTTGCCCAGTATATCTTGTTGTAGCCCTCACAGAAAGACATAAAACCGAAAGACCGCTCCCCTTAGGGAGATCAGAACAGACATGCGTGTGTTGACTTTTAAGGAAACGAGCACGTGCGTTGTGAGTGTTAGTTCTTGGAGCCGACTCCCTGGCATGTGGGAGTGGGACCCCTCCCAGCAAGCTTTCATGCACGCTGTTAATTTCTGGAAAATTACCCAAAGATACGTGTGTGCACAAAAAGCCATTAGCTCTGGACTCCGGGGAGGTGGAGGCAGGTTCATGCGTCCACGCCGGCCGCTACCTCGGAACACTCAGGCCAGGTCTTACGCTGCAGGGAGCTTGTGGCACCATCCCTCACCTGCCTCCCTCCCGTTCCCCATCTGGCACCGCAGGGGCAGGCAGCCAGGCACAGGGGGTCCCAGCCGTGTGACCTAGGCCTTGCATTAAGGCTGGGGAAGCAACAGTGACCCACGTGGGCGGGCTTTCTCTTAACACCACCAGTCCCAACCTGGCGTCTTTCTTAGGACACTCCCTGCGAGTTCATGCAAGGCTTTCCATCCGTCAAGCTCATTACCATCCCTGCCCGGAGCCTGGGGGCAATGGGGTGTGTGCAGATTGCATTTATCTCACCGAGCGTGTTAATCAGACGGCTCATCTCAGGGGAGAAGCGCCGAGCTCTCTTTGCATCCCAGGAGAGTTTTCAACATCTTGCCACTGGTGTTTCTTTGCTGCAGAGCGTGGCGGTCTCTGTCCTTTATAAAGAATGACACGGCATCGGACAGGGACCGCCGAGAACCCTGAGTGGACAAGTCTCACACGGTCGGGCCATTTTAGGTCAATTCCGGATCAGATAGTGAAGAGTGAGGCTTCCATAATGATTCCAGAAGCTTCTGTCCCTTCTAGCCCGTTCTTGCCCCATCCGGTCCCAGCTCAGCTCCCACCACTGGTGGGTTCTTTGGGACCCTTATCGGAGCTGAAAGTTTCGTGTGGGTCTCCCCTGCCAGGACGGGAGCCCCGGGGCTCGGGGCTGTGTCTGTCGTGCTCCCCTCCGAAAGCGCACTGCCCAGTGCAGCAGCGGGCACACGGCCGACTCCCAAGAAGGGTTTGTTGAATGAATGAACGATGTTCCCTGCAGCTGGGTACACCAGCTCTGGGAAGGGAAGCTCCATTTTCAGAAGCCCTCACCACTTGCTGTCCCGCAGCTCCTGTACCAAGAGTGGGCGAGCTACGGGGTCTTCTATAAATACCAGCCCATCGACCTGGTCAGGTGAGAGAGGACGCCGGGTAAGAAGGAGCGGCCCGGCTGCTCCGAGGCTGTGGGAGGCGAGTCCCTGGTTGGATGTCAGTTGGTCTTGACCATACTGAGTACTTATCACCTGGGAACCTGTCTGAACTTGAGAAGCTTGGGAAGGGGCCCCGGGTCCCCCGCAGGCCTGTAGACTCTCTGGGGGCTGGGCTTTTCCTGTCACGGTCATCCTCCTCAGCTGAATCCCCAGCCTGGCTCGACCCCGCTGGGTGGCCGCTGGGGCTCCCTACACGGCTGGTGGAGGGGGAGGAGGACGCTGTCCTGTCTCCCGGGGCAGGAAGGGGAGCAGATGTGTGTCCTGTGGGGACCTGCAGACCGGAGTCCGGCCATGGAAATTCTAAAGCCCCTCAAGGCGCCAGGGATGCGGAATGTGAAGAGGGCAGCTCTCTTGGCTTCTCCAGGCCGGAGCCCTCAGACGAAGCGGGACTTGGGACAGAGGCGGCAACCTCCCCGGCAGCCGGCCGCGCCTGCGCGCCCCAGCCTGGGCCTCACAAGCGGAACGCCCCGATTCCCGGGGCACAGAAGGGCAAGGGGCACCCCTGCCCCCGACGGCCAGCCCAGAGCACCCCCCACCCCACTCTCTAGGTCCTGCTCGGGGGCACGCGGTGCCAGGTCGAGCTGTTCCATGCCGGGCGGGGAGGTGCCACTTGTCCGCACCGGCGGGCCGTGAGCATAAGCTTGTCTCTGTCTGGCTTTGTCCTGTGGTGCAGGAAGTACTTCGGGGAGAAGATCGGCCTGTACTTCGCCTGGCTGGGCGTCTACACCCAGATGCTCATCCCGGCCTCCGTGGTCGGCATCATCGTCTTTCTGTACGGATGTGCCACTGTCGACGAGAACATCCCCAGGTAGGCGGGTCTCCTCCCCGCACACGCCCTCTGCTCCCGGAGGGGCCACCCTCCTCCCGCGGCGGCCGTGGCCCCCACAGGCCCTTGAACCCGCGGCCCTGGGTGGGGCGAGCGCTGAGAGCAGGGGCGGCCTTTCCCAGCACAGACACCCCGGGAGACGCACTCCAGTCCGGAGTGAGACGTAGAATAAGCATCCGGCAACTTTCCCTTCTTGGAAGGTGTTTTGCCCTGTTTTAAAGGAGTTTTCAGTCCTTCAGGGACTAGGAAATTCGCCGCTTCCTAGCGAGTTCAGGAGATGAGCCAAAGGGCCCTGTCGAGGTCTCGTGCGTGGACTCGGCCCCCTGACTCCCCACCCCCATCCCATCCCTTTGGCCCTGGGGGGTTCACAGAGCAGACAGTCCTGCTGCGGTCCCCCCCAAGGGTTACGCCAGGCAAGGGGAGCTCTTGGGAGAAGGCCGGGGCCCCCAAGACAGCCCTGTGCTGGGGAGCATATGAGCCAAGTGGTGGGAGCCCGGAGGCTGCGGTCCTCGGGGGGCTCGGGAGTGCCCTGTCTCTCCCTGCTGTGTGCCAGGGCCACAAGCCCTGAGCCAGGGGTGACTGTGTTGTGTCTTCCGGACTACAGGCCCCTCCTCAGTCAGGGACACCGCTGCCCGGCCTGTGGCCCTGCTTCCCACTAGCACGCAGGCTCGCCAGGGAAGCCCGGGGACATCCGTTCAGTTCTGTTGCTCACAACTCAGCCCTGTGGTTCCAAAGCAGAGCTGTGGCTTAGAACATTCATCTGTAGTTCCAGTCAGCGAAGATCAAACGAGTCCCTTACCTGGCCAGGCGGCTGGCTCGTCACAGCTCTGCCCACAGAAAGGCCATATCCGGCAAATTTTGGTGTAAATGGTGCTTTGAGGCATGAGTAACACCTAAAATATTTCCACCCACCTGGGATCAAAACGTTAAAGGAATCTGGCTTACGTACCCTCCAGGGCTATTCTGGGTACAGACAGACCAGAGGAAGCTTGTCCCTTTGTTGGCTAATGTGACATGAGGCCACTGTGCTTGGGTCCGACAGTGGCTGTTGGGAACCCAGGTGTGATGTGGCTTTAGCTCCAGAGCCCCAAGGGACGCAGCAAGTGGCAGCCCCGGGGGCTTCTCCTCCCTCCCCTCCTCCCGAGCGTAGCCGGGGAGTCTCAGCCAGGGGGCTCTGCCCGGGCACGCCTGTACCACTAGGGCACCGAGGTCCCCAAGGCCAGGCCGGCACTGCCTCCTCTCGACACACGGCCAGGGACGCGCACCAGCCTCACGGCGGGTTCTGGACGCCCGTCCTCTTTCGGCCTTGGCCGCTGCCCGGTTGGTGCCTTGGGTGAAGGAAGAGGTGTGTGTCCCCCGGAGTGTGATCTGCCCACGTGTGTAGGGAAGGCAGAGGCCCTGCCCTTCGAGGTTCCAGCTGCCCCCCCAAACGGCCCATCCCCTCCAAAGAACAGACCTTCCCATTCCTTGTCTTTATTTTGGCTGTGGCTGAGGAAGGGCGAGGCAGAGGGTTTAAAACCGGCAGAAAATGGCTTTCTGTCTGGCCTCGTTTATGCCGACGGGTGAGAGGGCTGGCGGCAGGCAGAACCGCACGGCCTTGCCCCGTCCCCCCTGGGGCTCTGGGCCACCCCATCCTCCAGCCAGGGCACCGGGGCCCTGGGCAGTGCAGTGACAGTGGGGGCCTTTATCAGCCTCCCCAGCACCTGCCCCCTGGAAGGTCCCTTGGAGGAGAGGGAGCTCAGCGAGGGGCAGGAGACGGACGCTCATAGCCGCTGTCCGTGCTCGGTTACCCCCAGGGTAGTAACGGCAATCACCACTGTTCCCGCTGTTCCAGGGCCTTCGTGGGCTTTCCCCAGTTTCCCCAGTGTCCCAACAGCACTCTCATTCCCAGCAACCCCTTCTACAGATGGAGAGACTGAGGCCCAAGGAATCTGAGTCACCCACCCCAGGCCACACAGATTACGAAAGGTAGAGCCGAGCCCTAAAGCCAGAGCTGGCTGGCTCTGAGGTCCACGCGGCCACGCCACCCACGTGTGCCGGCCCCTCTCGCGCACACACGCACGCACGCACGCACACACGTACACTCACTTCCCCAGGGGCTCCAAGGCAGCAGCTCCTTGTCACAACCATCTTTCCACGTCCATGCCTGACACAGTGCCTGGTACATGGGGTTTTCACAGCATGACTGAGAAGAAATCCAGGACGCCCACCATGCTGGCACAGGGGGTCCCCACAGCCTCTCAGCAGGACACCTGAGAGGCTGTGGGCCAAGCATGGTTGTGCACCTGAGTTCATGTGCACAGAAATAAGAAAGAAACACTCCCCTCCACACTCTTCAGCATCTGGGAAAGCGCGCTCCTGCCTGGGGTCTACAGCTCAGAGTCTTGTCCGAGTTAGCAGGGAGGGGAAAATTCAGGGAAGGCTAGAGCCCAGGGCGGGGAACACCTTACTCTGACTCCTCTCCTCATCTCCCAGAAGGAGAAACTGAGTCTGAGGCTAAAGGGACACGGGGCAGGAAGAGCCAAGGGAGGACCCAGGGGCAGGAGGTGAGAGCCCGCGGTCTGTGGGCCGCAGACGAGAACCACGAAGACCAGGGCTCAAACCCCACTCTGTTGTGTGACCCTTGGCACGTTACTTCCCCTCTTTGGGCTTATTTCTTCATCAATGATGGTGGGATTGTAGGGGTCCCCGCAGCTGGTCTGGGCCAGGTGGGTGCCCGTGGGGGCTCCTGCCTTTGAGTATCAGTGACTTGCCTATTAGCGGGAGAGAGCCTGAGTGCCAGGGAGCTGGGGGGGGTGGGGAGGCTCAGCTCCCCTCCCGTCCCTCCGCAGCAGCTGGGCTCCAGCCCCAGACTCCATGTCAGCCCAGAGGATAAGAACCTTGTTGAGCAGGACCCACTGTCCCAGCCAGGCACCCTCAGCTCCAAGCGAGCCCTGCATGGTGGATGTCCCCCCCCACCCCCCGCCCCGGGCTGCCTTTCGATGTGTTCCTTCCTGCCCACCTACCTGTCTCCCCTGTGTGTCCAGAGCCCCCCTGAGGCTGATGCCTGGGTGGCCCCTGAGGCCCGCTGCCCCACGGCATCCCCACCAGGACAGCTGAGCCGACGTGCGCTCTGCCTGGGACGTGCAAGGGCACGGGAGGGCACAGCCTTCTTGTGGCCTCACCTGTTCTTCTTGCTGTCTCCCTCACATCATGAACCCCTGGGCAGCTCCCGCTACTAGAACAAGCCTGGCCAGAACCCAGCTGTTAGAGGACACTGGCTGCTGTCTCTCCGCTTCTCCAAGAGGCGGCTCCCACATGGGCCATGGGTCCTGCTGCCTCTGGTCCACCCCGACCCCGAGACGTGAGCACTCAGACGCCCCTCTCGAGTCACCCAGCAGGTCTGGACAGGCCTGCATCCGGGGTGGGCTGCAGAAATTGCAGGCCTTATGCAAAACAAAAATGCAGGAGCCCTGTCTAAAGTCGTGGAGAATCGTAAAGTGGTACCAGGCACGAAAGCAACCCGGAGCTTTCGGAGCACAGGTTCCCCAGGACCGCCCATGTCACCGGTGTCTGCAGGCAGCCCTAGAGAGCATGTGGGGGACGCGGGCGTTGGCTGTAGCCGGCTAGCAGGCCTTATGGGGGTCACTTCACCGACCCCCACCCCGGCACGGCTCCCAGCGGGGAGTGCCTGCGTGTCCCGGCCCCGGGGACTTACTGGCAGCCCCCGTCTTGCAGCATGGAGATGTGTGACCACAGACAGAACATCACCATGTGCCCGCTGTGCGACAAGACCTGCAGCTACTGGAAGATGAGCTCGGCGTGCGCCACCGCCCGGGCCAGCCACCTCTTCGACAACCCCGCCACCGTCTTCTTCTCCGTCTTCATGGCCCTCTGGGGTAAGCAGAACCTGGCTGCCTGGGGTCTACGGGGCAGGGGTGACTTTGCCTCGGTCCCTCCATGGCCTTTGTTCCACCTTGACATTTTGCACAGGCTGTGCTGGCCTAGAATGAGCATGGGAGGGAGGCTCAGTGGGGGGACGGTGCCCCGTTGTGCCTGCAGGTGGGGAGGGTCTGGGCTGCGTCCCGGATACAGACTGTTTCTTCTGACCCACGCCTTACGGAAGGTGGAGGGGGGGTCTGCTCTTAGAAACGGGCCGTCTTTCCTGGGACCAGGTCCCCGCAGCACCCCTGCAGGTTCCACGTGCCCACTTTTCGGAGAAGGATACCAAGGCCCAGAGATAGTTAGTGTGAGTTTCCCAAGGTCACTCAGCTCCTGAGTGTCCAAGGCAAGGAAGGAATGTGGGGTTTCCAGAGCCGGTGCCCTTACCTCCGCCTGCCACCCCGAGTCCAAGGCACGGGGCTCATCCTTCAGGATGCTTCTCTGCTCTGGTACCCGACAGATGCCGGGGGCGTGGGCAGTGGGCGGTGGGTGAGTGCTGTCTGGTTGCGTTTCTTCAGATGTTTTTCGATTAGCAAACTGACCTGTTCCCTCCTCTGTGGTCCTGAGTTACCCCCTCTCCAGGGGAGGATTCAGAATCCGGGCCCTGGGCAGCTGTGTGCAGAGCTGTCCCCTGGATACCAGAGCCCCAGTCCTTGTCCCCAGGGACTCCCATATAGTAGGAGATGGAACTGGGCACAGGAGCTAAGGGTCAGGATGCCTGTGGGAGGAAGTCAGGACAGACTTCCCGGAAGAGGTGTGAGCCCCTTGAGCGGAGTTCTGAAGATGCGGTGGGTGGGGGTGCCACGTGTTTGCAGTGTGGGGACTCAGTGCAGAAGCGGAAGGGCCGGGAAGAGCCCTGTCGGCACGTCCCAGAGCGGCACGTAGCTGCATCGGCCCCGTGCACAGTGGGTGTGTGGGGGGCAGTGGGGGGCTGAGAAGCTGCTCGTTGTACAAATGGGGATGGAGACTGCCCCCGGCCAGCCAGATGCGTGGCTCTTACGGGCCCGTGTGACCTAGATGTGTGAGGATCCGGCCACGGAGCATTCGGTCGCGGCACCGCAGTGCTGAGCGGAACGGGTTGTTAGCGTCACGGCAGAAGCCTCGACTCAGGAGCATTTTTCAGAATTGCAGAATCCGTGAAGTTGGGGCCTGGGCTTCCCAGCTTGGCCGCTGCCCCTGGGAGGCTGGAGGCTCAGGAAGGTCTGCCAACGCAGGAAGAAACCACAGAGCAGAACCAGCTTCGTGATATGTCGGGGCTGACCCCGGGGTCCTCACCGGGCCTGAACCGGCTTCTGCCCAGCCGGGCAGCCTCCCTCCCCGCCCGAGGTGGTCCATTCAGACCTGAGGTGGTGTTTGAGAGAGCTGTCAGTGAGGTAGGGGAGCATCCAGCGTCCCCGGGGGGCTGAGGTTGCTGCCTAGCCTGGTCTCCCTGGAGCGGCGGCCAGAGCTCAGAGTGGGCTGAACCCGTGTGGTTTGGAGGCGGGGGGTGCAGAGGAGCTGCGCGGTGTCTCCGGAGAACTGGGAGGAGCACAGAAGGCTGAGTAGTGGGGCTGGTTCCTCAGTCACATTGCTGGAAACCGCGTGGGGGGATGGGGCGGCAGGCAGCAGCCGCGGGCTCTGGGATGGTCCTGCTGAGGATGTGAGCCGCAGCCCCTCCCCTTAGATGCACCCACCACCACGCCCAGCCCGCCACCCTCCAGTCTGGAGAGCAGCGTGGTCCTTAGCAGATCCCTGCCTGTGGGTCTCCCACCCCAAGGCCTCATGCCCCGGGCCCGGCGCTGCAGCCACCCACCCCTGCCTGCTTGGCTGGGGCGTGGCTCTCCACAAGCACCCTCAGTGGGCCCCTGGCCAGCTGCACTGGCTCCTGCAGGATCTCTGGGCCCGGGTGGCCCATGCCAAGCTTGCAACCACCAGTGGTCCATAGGGCGATCCGTGAGGGTCAGAGGGGCGGATGCAGAGCCTCAGCCCGGCCCGGGGGCGCAGCTGACTCTCTAGGGCTCCCACACTGTCGTCACACCCACTGGGGGTACCACCTGCCATGTGAGGTGGCATGAGAAGTACAAGTGTGCGTGACTGTCCTGGCCGTTGCGGGGTGGGGGGGCGGTGATCAACCACTTTTATGATGTGCTTATGCTCAGGGAAGCCTGGGAGGCAAACTGATGATTCCGCCGCCCTTGCAAGATTACAGTCCTGGATTCAAACAGGAGCAGCATGTGCAAAGGCCCAGTGGTAGGGATGCAGGGCCTGGTGAAGGAGCCTGCTGGGGGCAGGGAGCGGGGGCGGGGAAGAGTGCAGGGGATCCCAGAGACCAAGTAAGGGCCCGCGGGGAAGAACTCAGTGTTCTCACCAGAAGGAATCAGGAACCAGTGCAGTCGGCTTGCGGCATCAAAGGTGTTTTGTGTCTTATCCTTGAGTCAGAGACAGCAAGTGTAAGAGGCAGCTTGGGAGGAAGTGGAGGGAAGGCTGACCCAGCTCCGACGGGGGCAGTGGCCAGGGGGCTCTCAGTCGAGACTGAAGTGACAGGTGCTTGGGCCAATGGTAAGAAGCCAGGTTAATCCAAGGGGGCTCTGGGGCGGCCAGACCGGAAAGGGGGCTGGTGGGAAGGGCCAGAGCAGCGGTCAAGAGAATTTGACACCTCCCTCCCGGCCTCCGGGCTCCCCGATTTTGTCCCACCCATTCCCACTTTCCCCACGGGAAGCTCAAAGAGGAACCCAGCCCCCAGACTCCAGGTTACTGCCCCTCCAAACAAAGGGATCCGGACAGAGAAAAGACATTTTGATCATTACAAAGGACTCGGGTGCCTCGTTTCCACTCTCACGCGGGCCATCCCCAGGGTTGAGGAGAAGTGGCAGTCCTGGCTGAGCCGGCTTCGGGTGAAGCGTGGGGGGTAGAGTTACAGCCCTGCCCCACTGTGGATGGGGGGTATCAGCCTGGGGGTGCAGCCCGCCCGGGGCCTGGCCTCAGGGCGGGGAGGAAGCAGGCCCACTGCGTCCCTGGCGCACACGTGTCCTCCGCAGCCAGCCTCTCTGGACGGAACGTAGCTTATAGGTGCGCGGCCTGTCTCCTCGGGCGACAGGGCCCACCCTCTCCTGCCGGGCGACAGAAGCCAGCGGCGGCTGGAGCTCGGCACGGAGCCGTCTGAGGCGGTCATCGCCGTGCCTCCAGCTGAAAGCCGCCCCTGGCGAGTCTTTGGCACCAGGCGCCGGGCACGGTTCTGGCCACAGAGCCCTGCACGCTCCCTTGGCACCCGGCCGTGGCCAGTTTTGTCTTGTAAGGGCAGCAGCTGCGCTGGCCCCTGAGGGACGTGCACCGGACACGCGTGGGGCGCCGCACTTCCTCCTTGGGCCGTCACCCCCGGGTGGACGCAAGCCGTGCCCGATCTGACAGGGGCGGGTCTGTCCCCTTCCCCACCCAGCGGTCAGGAGGAGGCCGGCCAGGCTTGTCCCTTGCTCGCTGGGCTCGGAACGGCCCTGACTGCCCGCAGCCTGTGCACCACGGATGATGGAGAGTATCCAGGACTGTCCATCCAGCCCGGCTCCAGGGAGCTCCTGCCCAAACCCAGCCTGGCCCTGCCCTCCCCACCGAGTAGCGGTGGCTCTGGGCTCATCTGTCCCCACTTGTCGGAGCAAAGGGTCTATGCCCTAAATGTTTAAAACCCAACAGTCTCCCCGTAGGGCCTCACACTGGGTTCCCACCCGACAGGATGTACCCCCGGGACGAGGGTACAGTGAGGGAAGAGCCTGGACGCGGCGCCCATCGGCGGCCCAGCCCACGCTCGCGCCCCGCCCGCCCCCCCAGCCGGTCCCCAGGTTTTGCATGATCCACGCCTCCCCTGTCTCTCCCAGTCCTGGCTTCACTTTGAAATGGTAGCAGCCCTTTTACTGATTTTTCCATTTGAGGGTTCGTCTGCGGGATTTGGGGGATACGGGAGTTCTGCCGAGGAGGTGTGAGACCTCTTTGCTGCAGCAGGGACTGGGCAGCCAGGAGACGGGCTTTGCAGTCGGCACCCCGGAGAGTGTTAGCGGCATCAGCGCGCACATGTCGGCCAACACGGGAGCTCGGGAGCCGTGGACTGTGCTAGACTCTGCCTTGTGCAGTGCGGCCGCTGAGCGAGGAGGCGGCCCCTGCGTTCCAGTACGTGTGCTCAGAGCGGGAGGCAGACGCAGGCAGACATAAGCAGAGCCTCACGATAAATGCCGTCTGTTAGGTCTCTTAGCGGGCAAAGGCAGTCTTCCGAAGGAGGCCACATGAAACCCTAGGGCGCCAGCTCAGCACGGGGAAAGATTTCCAGCAGTGAGCCCTGTGTCGCATTAGGTGGTGAGCACCCTGCTCCGAGGGGCATTCAAGCTGTGTTGGAGGACCCCTTGCTGGGGCTGCTGCACAGCATAGGGAGGCAGTAGCTCTGTGCGGTTCTACTGCCCACCCTCGCCTCTCTGGACCCTGGGTCCACCGGGAATTACCTCTGTGCCCCCCACTGCCCTCTGCGCCTCATTCTCAGCCTCCCTGGCTTCCTCAAGACCTCAGTGCTGCTAAGCTGTCCCCAGCTGGTCTGGGCCCAGGAAGCTCCAAGCAGAAGCCGGAACACCTGCTGGGCGGGTGCACAGCCTCCTGGGTCCCTGCCCTGAGCTGGGAAGGCCCACCAGGCAGCACATTCGAGCCCCCAGGGGAGCTCAGCTTGCGCAAGCCTCCATCGGACGCTTGGGTCCGAGCCACTACTCAGCTGGGTGGACTCTGTGCCAGGATGGGTGGACGCAGGGAAGCAGTCACCGGAGCCGCTGGGTCCTGGGCGGGACTCAGGTTCAGATCTCTTAGCTCGTCCCCTAGCGGCTGTGTGACCTCAGGCAAGTGGCTTCTGCTCTCTGGACCCCAGGTTCCCCATTTATAAAATGGGGGGGATAACACAAGCCACCTGGAGCCGTGCCGGGAGCCTCGAGCGCGCCGTTCCTTGTGACATACT